GTTCTTATTAACTCTGACCAAGTAGATCTAACAAATTTATTTCAATGGCACAATGAAAACAAATGTTTCTAAGTAAAGGCACTGGCATAACAGTATATAGGTTAAATTTTCAGAGGATATATTACAAATCTGTCATTATATCATACAGCAATAATGCCCCATATCTCAAAAAAAGGCCTAGCTTATATGTTTATTTCTAGTCATTTGTAATTTTACAAATAGACATAAGTGTATAAACTTATAACTATACATACTGCTTGGATTTATGTTTAATTGGAGTTATAAGAAAAACTGACAATTATGCAACTTAAATATAATTTCCTAAAATAATTTGGGCTTGTTCTTTTATCCTGGAAGTTTGAATGGCCTTTAGTCAGAGGCTACTTTCCTCAGTCAATGCATAGAAATACTTTCCTTGAAAGAAACTGAATCTATTTACTAACTGTGTCATTTAAATTTATTTCTTAATTTTTGGAAACAATTATCCAAATTTTCTTAAATGATGGTCACCTTCATAACTGCTAGAAATGCATAAATAAATTTTTAGAAAATGTGAAATTCTGGTTGCAATACACTTTTAAAAATGAAAAAAATTGTACACCTAAAATTATGACTGCATTATCAATTTAATATTAATGTTAATGGCTAATTTTGCCTTCATTTTCTAATGAAAATAATTTGATTGAAATGTTATGAAAAATATAATCTTATACTTTGGTTTAGAGCAGTAAAGCATGGTTTCATTAAAATATGGTGAGCAGATTGAACTCTACTTGTACTATTTACATATTTGTAATATTTGTGAATGACTAATTTCAAGGGAGATTGAAGAATTAGTTATTTAACTTAAAAGATAAAAAAAAAAACAAATTGATGACAAAATGGAATCCACAGTGGAGTTAAGTTTACCAAGAACTTTTCATTTTAGGGGGCCGGCCGAGAGGCTCAGTTGGTTAAGAGTGCAAACTCTGAGCAACAGGGTCGCAGGTTCAATTCCCACATGGGCCAGTGAGCTGCATCTGAGCTGAGCTGCTGTTGAGCTGCCAATAGGTGGCAGGGTGGCTCAGCTTGTGAGAGCATGTGCTCCTAACAACAAGGTTGCCAGTTCAACTCCCGCATGGGAACCAAGATTGAACACAGCACCTTGAGCTGAGCGGCCCTGAGCTGCCCTGAGCTGCCGCAGAGGGCAGGATGGCTCAGTTGTTCGCCAGCGGCTGGCCGGATGGCAACTAGACTTGGAGCTGAGTTAGCTGTGCCCTCCACAACTAAGACTGAAGGACAACAACTTGGCTGTTCCCCTTCCCCAACTCCCCAATAAAATCTTTAAAAAAAAAAAGAACTTTTAATTTTATTATAACATCTAATATAACATCCCTTAAAGAAGAAGAGAGCTAATGTGTCATGGAGAAAACGCTTTACTACCTTATAGCTCTCCAAATATGAGCAAATTACATAAATTCTAAACTTCAGCTTCTTAACATAGAGATAGTAGCTGACAATGTGATGGTGAGATTACTCAAGGTAATCTGAGTAATGCACTCTGCACATATAAAACCCCTGGCTCACAGCTAAGATTTAGAAAATTGTAACTATCATTATTATTTGTAGTCAAAACACCTGGATTCCTGTTTTTCTTTTCATTTTTTGCTTTTTTTTTTCATTTCTTCATTGATTCCTGGGCAAGTCATCTGGCAATATGATAAACAATATAATAAATGGATTAAATGCTCCAAACAAAAGACATAGGGTGCATGAATGGATAAGAGGACCAGACCCTTACTATGCTGTCTACAAAAACTCACCTGAACTCGAAAGACACACAGACTGAAAGCCAAAGGATGAAAAAAGATATTTCATGGGCCGGCCGAGTGGCTCAGATGGTTAAGAGTTGGCTTAAGAGTGCGAGCTCTGAGCAACAGTGCTGCTGGTTCGATTCCCACATGGGCCAGTGACGCTGTGCCCAAGCTAAGCTGTTGCTGAGCTGCCAACAAGTGGCAGGATGGCTCAACTGGTGTAACAACAAGATTGCCTGTTCGATGGTGGGCTATGCCCACCCACAACTAAGACTAAACTTGGCACCTTGAGCTGAGCTGCTGCCCAGATGGCTCAATGGATAGAGTGTGCACTCTTAACAACAAGGCTGTCAGGTTCGACTCCTGCATGGGATGGTGGCTATGCCCACCTGCAACTAAGACTGAACTTGGCACCTTGAGCTGAGCTGCTGCCCAGATGGCTCAATGGCTAGAGCGTGCGCTCTTAACAACAAAGCTGCTAGTTAGACTCCCGCATGGGATGGTGGCTACATCCATCCGCAACTAAAATTGAACACAGCACCTTGAGCTTAGAGACCATGATCTGCCAATGCGAAGCCAGATGGCGACTGGCGCCCTCCACAACGAAGATTGAACAACAACAACTTGGCTGGTCCCCTTCCCTAGTTCCCAACACTGTTCCACTCCCCCCAGTTCCCGAATAAAATCTTTAAAAAAAAAAAGAAAAAGAAAAAGATATTTCATGAAAATGGAAACAAAAGAAAAAGCTAGAGTAGCAATATTTATGCCAGACAAAACATACTTGAAAACAAAGGCTATAACAATAGACAAAGAAGGACCAGTAATCCCTTGGGTATTTATTGTTAATTCTTTATAGCCCAAATCAAATTTCACATCCTCCCTGAGGCTTCCCATCATTCTAAAACCTTCTGTAGGCTATATCATATACTCCTTAAAAAAAATGTCTAATTCTTTTTTTAACTTGTATTCCCCCAAATCAGGTAATTTGCAGTAGAACTCAAGAAAGTCATCTAGTCCAATGGTTTTCAAAAATTGTCCACAGTCTGGGGCCGGCCGAGTGGCGCGATGGTTAAGAACTGGCTTGGGACACCATAGGGCCCCGGTTTGGATCCCACATATGAGGGCCAGTGACACTGCCCTCCACAGCTAAGATGCTGAACAACAGCTCAACCTGGAGCTGGGCTGCTGTGAGTCGCCAGTGACGGCGTAGGCTGCAGCCCCTGTGGCAGTGGGTTGCCATGGGCTACTGTGTGTAGCCAGCAGCCACAGTGAGCAGCCCAGAAGCCGGCGACTGATCTGCCTCGCCCGGGAAGAGCGCAATGATGGTGCCAACTTGGGCCAGTAAAGCAACGTCCTCCACAACTAGACTGAAGAACAAAAAACGACAGCAACTTGTCTGTTCCCCTTCCCCCAATTCCCCAGCACTGTTCCCATCCCCCAATTCCCCAATAAAATTCTTAAAAAAAAAAAATTTTTCCACAGTCTGGTATTATTGTTCTGGCTCACAACATCCTCACACATCCTGAACTGCTCCTTTTGAAACAGTAGGTTCCATCACACTCCATGCTCACAATCCTCAGGGTGAGGAAAACCCTTGAGCCCACTTCCTACAGCCCTCACTGACCCATCACCCTACCTGTAGCCAAAGGCATGGGGCAGTCATTGCTAGACATTTCTCAAATGTCCAAGAATATTTCAAATAAAATAAAATTGATTTTTTTCCCTAGTTTTACTCAACATTCCCATGTAAAATAGAATTTTCTAGTTTTAACTGTGAAAAAAATAACATATTATAGGAAAACTTATTGGGTGAATAAGCTCTACTTTGTGGTACATAATAAAATATAAATTCCCAAAGTGACAACTATTCAATAAAGTAATTACATATAGAAACGTCATAAAATAATGCTTTATGTTGCAAATTTACGCATTTTAATAATATTTTACTGTGTGCGAGAATATGAATCTTTTTTTGATATTCTTCTTATTCTGCTGAGCCCTTCCTCATTTTTTGCTGATACAATGACCTTTATTTTATTCAGTGATGGTGGCAAATATAGTTGTGAATTCGGGCCAGCTGAGTGGCGCATTGCTTAAGAGCTGGCTTGGGATGCCAGCTCTGAGCAGCAGGGCCCCAGTTCCGATCCCACATCAGGGCCAGTGACACTGCCCTCTACAGCTAAGATGGTGAACAACAGCTTGACCTGGAGCTGGGCTGCTGTGAGTCGTCGGCCACGGCATAGGCTGCCAGCCCGTGCTGCAGTGGCTGCCATAAGCTACCGCGAGTGGCTGGCAGCCAGTGTGAGCTGCCAAGAGCTGCCATGAGCGGCCATCCAGAGGCCGGCGACTGATCTGCCTCACCCAGGAAGAGCGCAATGATGATACCAACATGGGCCAGTGAAGCAATGTCCTCCACAACTAGACTGAAGAACAAAAGGACAGCAACTTGTCTGTTCCCCTTCCTTGATTCCCCAACGCTGTTCCCCTCCCCCAACTCCCCAATAAAAAAAATAAAAAAATCTTTAAAAACAAAAACCGAAAAACTTAGGACCAAGGGAGGGATAGAGAAGGACAGAGAAAGGAAAAGAGAATGTCTTTTAAATTTAGCATGTTTATGACACTTTCAAGTGTTTGTCTTGAGGTATTTTTCTGCCATTTAGAACGGTGGCTTAGATTGTAATTTATCTTGACCTCAAAGACTAAAACCACTGCATCTGCTACACAGCAGCTCTGCTCAGGAGTTCTGTCCATCTGTAACTCAGACCTGTGCTTGTGGCATACACTATCACCACCTGGTGGCAGCGTAAGTTTCTACAATGCAAAAGAATTTGGGGAGGTGACAGAAAAGAACCTTTGAATACTACATCTGCATACTAATTTAGGAGTTGCTTTCAATTCCACTTATTCTTAAAGGGTATTTTATTCATATTTGGCACATAAATATTCAATGTTATGTATTTGCCATAAATATTTTAAGTTACAATTTGATAAAAATGGAAAATTTTAAACTGATATATATTAATGAAAGATCAAGTACCCATTTTATATAGTTTACACAAATTATTTCTGTAATGCTGTAATAATCCAGTGTTTCCTTTATCCAGTTTCAAAGTACCAGAAATAAACTCTTGAATATTAATTGATGTTAAGAATACATTAGTACAATATCCCTAAGTAATAGTCGGTAAACTATTAATCTATAAAAATTTGGTTTTGTGATATGTGAAATTTGAATAATTGCTTAATGTCTTTAAAAAATGTGTTTTCTGCTTTTTTTCTTTGTTTATTCATTTTTTCTTTTTATTCTTCATTTCCTTTTTGAAATTTGATTACTTATAAGACTCTTTATGATGTTTCCTTCAGGTGAAATTCCTAAGCAGGTTAAAGTGAAAAAATTGAAGAACCTAAAGACTCTGGATTCTAAACCTGGTATTGACTTTAGTTAATTTTTAAATATATACCTCATGGGTACTTGGTAAAAACAAACAAACAAACAAACTGTTTACCTTGTTTTCTTTACTTCTTAGGAGTTTATACTTCTTATAAGCCATATCTAAGTAGAGATGACGAGATCATAAAACAATTGCAGAAGGTAATTATTGGCTCATATTATTAAATTTCCTATTTCATATATATAATACCCAGTTATGCAATATTGTTTTATGTATAGTAATGTAAAATGAGGTCTCTCTTTTGAACCAAAGCTTCATAGAAATCAGGAGACTGAAGTAGCAGCAATTATGGGCTTGAAATATGGGGGCTGCAGCTACAAACTGGTGCCAATCTTCCTAGAAACTTGGAAGTTACAGTGAAAAAGTCATGGAGTCTACCGTGAGGTAGCTTAGCATTTAACAATAGGGAATAGATAGCATTTTTTTTGGAAAATGTTAATAGTATTAATACATGAAGCATGAAATACAGTCTTCATTGTGAACTGATAGTTTTCAGTGTGGGATGACTACCTTATGTTTTGCTCTAAGGATTTCTTTTTTACAGTATTATTGCATAATGAACTTCAGATTAAATTAGTTTAAGATGAAGTTCTAGGGTTTGTTTTATATCAAGTAAACTATATATTTTTTTACATATCAGTTGAACTTCTATAATTATCTATTGTTTTATACTCCCTAACACTAGAATATAGGTTCTTATTGTTTCTTCTTTTAAGGGTGTACAACAGAAACGCCCTTCTGAGGCTCAAAGTGTTATTCTGCGACGCTATTTCTTGGAACTGACACAAAGCTTTATCATTCCATTAGTAAGTTAACATACATATTTGCTTAATTTGATGGTTTATTGAAGGGTGTATGAATGTTTTTCCCATTCACCAAAACCTTATGTTAAGGTGTGTGTTTTGCCTGCTCATGTATTTAGTGATTAAAAATAGAGCCCTTTGTAAGAGACCAGGACTCCTTATTTTTGTTATTAACTGTGTAACTTTGGGAAGTCACTTTCTCTGACCCTCAATTTCTTTATCTAGAAAATGTGGCTAATTCCACTTTTCCTAAATATCTTTCAGGGCTGTTGTGAATATCTTAAATGAGATAATTGCAGGAAAATGTTATATAATTTGTTGCATTTTGTGTCTCTTTCCAGGTTATCCTGTAGCTTTTTTTTCTGATTTTATTTTCTTGAACACAATTTGACATGATATCCATGAAACTAGCACCTTGATGACAGGGGCCTTATCTGTCTGTTATCTTTTCCTCAGTCTGTTATGTGGTAGCACTTAATAAATATGGAATAAATAACTGGATGATATGGTTATTCCATGAAATTTAGTGGAATATCATATCAAAACATTTAAAAGAAGCCTCACAGTATCAGGCAGTACCACGATGTGGTCCTAATCTGGAGACTGCATTGGAGAAAGACTCCATGTAGTTGTTAAAGTAAAGTAATCTATCTGTGAATATCATATGGGGGCAACCTGGAGATCTTTGTTATTATATTTTGGGAAGAAATGTTCCCCAAACAAAATTTATTTTGTTTCATTTAAATCTGTTTAAGTAAATGAACTTTACTGTAATGCATGGGCTGAAGTAAAGTAGACCTGAATTCAAGTTTAAACTGTGTGGACTTAGGCAGCTTACTTAGCCTTTTGAAGCCTTAGTTTCCCAATAATACCTGCCACATAGGATGGTTGCAAGGATTAAAAGAGATCATGCATGTAAAATGTTGAGTATATTTTCTGGCGCATAGTTATTCAGTAAAGTTAATTATTATCATTAAAAATGTGTAATCTCTTGGATTATCTAAGATTTAGTTAAATTTTTATTGTAAGTCTGACTTCTCAACTCAATCTGAATTTAGCTGTACCTATTGTGGGGAGTGATGGTGTTGATATCCGTTGAAAGATATATGATGAAAAACTTGGAAACCCATGTTTTTAAAGTAGGTCTACTTAAAAGTTTTTAAAGACTCTCTAAGAACACCTAACTTGATTAACTTTTTTTCCTGGTTTTAGGAAAGGTATGTGGCAAGCTTGATGCCTTTGCAAAAAAGTATTTCTCCATGGAAGGTATGTATATATTCAATTAATTCCTATTTGAGTTCTCTAACCATAATTAACTTCTGTGAACATATCCATTTTTAATTTTTAGATATAGTATGTCCTTTTTTTCTAGAGTCCACCCCAATTAAGACAATTCCTTCCAGAAGAATTTATGAAAACACTTGAAAAAACAGGACCTCAGTTGACCTCTAGAATTAAAGGCGATTGGATTGGACTTTACCGGTGAGCCTTCTTTTTTGTTTTTCACCCATATCTAGATCTTTATTTAAAAATAAAAAAATAAAAGAAAACCAAAACCCTAAAAGCTGGACTTATATTTTTTTATTCAAAATTCCATTGTTTCACATGATTCTTTGAGCTGTAGGTAGGAAAGGTATTGAAGAGAGGAAGTAAGTCATGATCAAACCTTGCAGTTTTAAAATTTATTTTATTATTATTATTTTTAAAATTTTTGTTTTAATTGGGGAACAGTTTGTTTTTCCAGGACCCATCAGCTCCAAGTCAAATAGTTGTTTCAATCTAGTTGTGGAGGGCGCAGCTCAGCAGCCCATGCGGGGATCAAACTGGCAACCTTGGTGTTATGAGCACTGTGCTCTAACCTTAAAATTTATTTTTATAGGCATTTTCTAAAATCCCCAAATTTTGATGGTTGGTTCAAGACCCGGCGGAAGGAAATGACCCAGAAATTGGAGGCACTCCACCTAGAAGCTCTTTGTGAAGAGGTTAGAGAACAGCATGTTCGTGTGGTATTTACTTTAAATAAAATAAAAGTTATCTTTAGAGGCTGGAAGGATATCCACATCCACTACTTTATAAATAGTAATAGCTAACTTTTCTAGATCATGTGCTATATGCCAGAGATGGTGTAGGTGCTGTATATGGATAATGTCTTTTAATTTTCACAATTCACTGAAGTAGGTGTGTTAGGATCTGCATTATGGGACATCTGAGGATTGTAAGTTAAGTGACTTGCTTCAGATCACATCACTGCTAAGTAGGGGAGCCAGCAGTGGGCTAGAGCCCACTTGCATTGGCTTATAAGAGCTGACTGTGCATCTCCTCCTAGCTCTTTATTCAGCGATCTCAGGTTAGCAGCTTGAAATCAGCTACAGTGGGAGTATTACACCAGTGAAATTAGCAAATGCTACAAACCAGAGACTTCCTGGCGAACTGGTTGTTAAATATTTTCCAGCATACCAATTCATGGAGTCAGGTTCAAATCCAAGCAGTCTAAGACACTCCAGATTTTTTCCAGCATGCTTTAGTAACGTCTTCCAGCTACCATTAACATTTTTTTCCCTGTATTTGGACTTTTTTTTTTTTTTAATTGGGGAATTGGGGGGATAGGAACAGCGGTGGGAACTGGGGGAAGGGGAACAGACAAGTTGCTGTCCTTTTGTTCTTCAGTCTAATTGTGGAGGACGTCGCTTCACTGGCCCAAGTTGGCACCATCATTGTGCTCTTCCCGGGCGAGGCAGATCAGTCGCTGGCTTCTGGACGGCC